TCACTGCTTATGGGCTCATGTCTCGCTTGTATTGCTATTCTTGTACTGATAGAGGATTCTGAAAAGAAACATACCAGACCAGATCAAACCAGTTTAAGTGTCTAAATCAAAACAAGTCCAGAAAAACTGACAAAGAACCAGTCTGGAGGTTCTGATAGTGGGATGTTCTGCAGTTCTGCTTGTAAGGAAAATAAGTATTTGAACACCCTGCTATTTTACAAGTTCTTAGAAACAATGGAGGGGTCTGAAATTGTCATCATAGGTGCATGTCAACTGTGAGAGACAAAAAAAAAAATAAAAAAATAAAATCCAGAAATCACAATGTATGAGGTTTCAACAAATTATTTGTATGATACAGCTGCAAATAAGCATTTGAACACCTGAGAAAATCAATGTTAATAAATGGATACAGTAGCCTTCATTTGCAATAACAGAGGTCAAACATTTCCAGTAGTTTTCCAACAGGTTTGCACATACTGCAGGAGGGATTTTGGCCCACTCCTCCAAACAGATCTTCTCTAGATCACTTAGGTCTCTGGGCTGTCGCTGAGGAACACAAAGTTTGAGCTGCCTCCAAAGATTCTCTATTGGGTTTAGATCTGGAGACTGGCTAGGCCACGCCTGAACCTTGATATGATTGGAACCTTGGAAACCTTTGTCCCAATTCTTTTCAGGTCATTGACCAGCTCCTCTCGTGTAGTTCTGGGCTAATTTCTCACCTTCCATAGGATCACTGACACCCCCCAAGGTAAGATCTTCCATGGAGCCACAGTCCGAAGGAGATTGTCAGTCATGTTTAGCTTCTTACATTTTCTAATAATTGCTCAAACAGTGGAGCTTTTTTCACCAAGCTGCTTGGTAATTTCCCTGTAGCCCTTTCCAGTCTTATGGAGGAGTACAATTTTGTTTCTAGTAACTTTGGACAGCTCTATGGTCTTGGCTTTTAGAAGTTGGATTCTTACTGTATGGGGTGGACAGGTGTTTCTATGCAGCTAACAACCTCAAACAGGTGAATCTAATTTAGGGTAATGAATGGAGTGGAGGTGGACATTTTAAAGAGAGACTAACAGGCATTTGAGGGTCAGAATTCTAGCGGATAGACAGGCGTTTAAATACTTATTTGCAGCTGTATCATACAAATAAATATTTAAAACAATCATGCATTGTGATTTCTGAAATTTATTTTTTTTAGATTCTGTCTCTCACTGTAGACATGCACCTAAGATGATCATTCCAGACCCCTCCATGATATCTAAGTGGGAGAAATTACAAAATAGCAGGGTGTTCAAATACTTATTTTCTCCAGTATCTGATAATGGAAGCACTTTATTAATAATAATAAACAACAACAGCCCATCAAGGGTTACCCTGGTATGTTTCCATGGTTTCCGGTCTGAAGGTGGGGCTGAGTCTGAAGTAGGAGCTGATGCTGCTGCTGTAGGAGAGGAGTTCCTCCATGTGGAGTGCAGGGAGCTGGTCCAGGAGCTCCCACTGATCAGTCACAAACTGTCTGCAGCTTCAAACACAACAGAGTCTGAGATGAGGACTGGACAATCTCCTAATCAGCAACAACAGGTTTCCTACCTTTCCTCCACGTCTTTCAGCTGCTCTAGAGTATTTTGCAGACACCTCTGCAAAGCATCCTCACTTTCCCCCTGACTGAGAGCCTCCAACAGGACATTCACCTCTAACATCTTCTCCTAGAAAATACACAGTTGAGTTTCATGGGATGGACAAGCAGCTGAAACATGCTTGGAGGCCTGACCCTCACTGATCAGGGTGTGTCACCTGAACGCGCTGCTGGTGAGGCTCTGTTAGGACCTTCAGCCGTTCATTCAGTTCTTCTTTTCTCTTCTCTAACCCGCAGCAGTACCTTTTCCACAACAATGCCAAGGCTTGCAGCACCTCAAAGACACTCCCGCTGACCCAGACCACATGACGGCCCACAGAGTCTCTGAGCATCTGCAGACAGAGGGACAGACAGTGAGGTCAGTCAACAGGTAAGCAGAATGGAAGTAATTCAGGAAGGTTTATCTGACAGACATCTAAAGCAGCCAATCTGTCTTCATCCTTTCTCTGTTCTTGTCCAATTATAGGGAGCAGCTGAGAGGTGACGATTTCCTTCATCTGCTGGTCTGATAGCTGGAGAGCTGATAGTGCCTCCTTCAGGAAGACATACAAGCAAAGATCACTTTTTAGTTGTTTAACCAAATGATTTAAGCGTCTTTGATTTGGCTTGTTACAAAGTTACAACTTTGCAATAATATTTCACTATTAGGAAGAGCAAATATATGAGAACTAATTACAAATTTACAAGTAGGAATCACAAATTTGCAAATACCATATAAGAATTTTGAGCAGGAATCACTTATTTATTAGTAGGAATCACAAATCTATGAGCATGAATTACTAATTTACAAGTACAAAACCACAATTAACAAGTAGGAATCACAAATTTATGAGAACAAAGTACAAATCAACCAATATTAATCACAAAGTTATAAGCAAAAATCACACATTAACCTGTAGGAATTTACAAGGAGGATCACAACTGTATAAGCAGTATTCTCCAATCATAAATGATTTACAAATCTATGAATAAAATGACAAATTTACTAGAACAAATTTACGAGTAGGAATCACAAGAGTGGTTGAGGGCATATAGCTTGGAATCCCGAGGTTATGAGACCTCAAACTGTGAACAGTAAAGCAGCTGTGCTGCTGCCATCAACTTGTTTGTTTGTAGATGTTCGCTAATCTGCCAGGCTGTGTGTTTCCTGGACGCGGCCGGCTTTAACAGTTGGTTTCTGTATCTCTGCTTCTGTCTCCTTGAACCCCAGTCTGCTCTGCAGATGGCCGCTCACACTGAGCCTGGTTCTCCTGGAGGTTTCTTCCTGTTAAAATTGAGTTTTCCCTCTCCACTGTCGCTACAATTCAGTGTGAGGGATTGCCTTTGTGAATTGGCGCTTTATAAATAAAGTGAATTCAATTGAATATAAACTAAATCATTATAATACAACTGAATAAGCAAACAGTATTTAATTTCAAGTAGGCTGTATCTGTTTAACGAAATTTCCCAGATGCAATGTACATGCATGAATCCCATTGCATAAGAGAATGCCCTCAGATTCTCTCTTTTAGGGAAAAAGTATTGAACCTGGCCAGTCGCATCAATGGAAAACAAGTAATGTTTACCAGATATTTGCCCTGCAACAGACTGGTGACCTGTCCAGTGTGTACCCCGTCTCTCGCCCATTGAAGACCGGAGATATAATATGCATTATACAAATATTTAATAAAAAGGAGATTTTGCTGACTGTTTTGTAGTGTGTGTTGATGGAAAACTCATATTAAGCATTTACTTCATGTGTTGCATCTCCTGCATCCACCAATAGTTTTAATTGATTCTCTTGCTTTCACTGGAAAGGTTTTTGACACTAATTTAGGATCAAATAATGTTTTTTTTTTTTTTTTTTTTTCTGTAAGAGTGCAACCAACAGGTAATATGGCATTTACAGTTCTTGTGATTTATTCCCCACTGCTTATTTTTTATTGGTCCTTTATTTCTGCTGCTCAGCTCTTAGGCAGCACAAGCTCGATCTCTAAACTG